CAACCCTCAGCTCACAAATCTGTGAATCTGAATTGAATTTAGCCCAAGTTGAGAGCTTGGCTGGCATGAAAAGACTATTTGATTAGAACGGCAGTTGTTTCATTTGTGGTGCAGCAGATTGCAGAGCCTCTCTATCCGATGTGCAATCTGTATTCATTACTCTGTGTAAAAGGATGATCCATGTCCTGACACCAGGCTCATCATTTCATGCAGATGCACAGCAGCTCTACAAGGCCTTTACTGAGTCACCGTGGCATCCCTCCTCTGAAACCAAAGTATTTTTACTTCTGATTTTTTTTTTCCCCACCACTCAGTGACTTCCTCCATCATGTTTTTATTCTCGTATTCCATCTGCAACAATAAAGTGATCTTCATGCCTGGTAGTATTTTTTTTTTTTTTTGGTTTGGTGACCTGTATTAGAATGAAACATCAGGCCTCCTACCAATACTGCTGCATCCTCGCCCATCAGTCAGTCTTACGATGAATAACCCAGTGGTGACTGTCCTGATAATCCACATCTTATACCAAAGCAGGTCACGAGGCATTCCTTCATAGAAACCCATACACAACCAAAGGTCCTCTACTTTTATATTCCATATGCTCCCCTTTGAACAAAGAGCCGAAAGAGACAACTATTGTAACCTTAATCTTAAAGTATAAGATTTTGTTGTTTTTTTACATATATACAGATGGTTTTGTACTGTAGGCTGTCAACAGTACACAAATTCCTGAATTTAATTAAAGACAAACCAGAGCACAGTGTATGTTGGCTGTTTCATTTGAAAATATCCTTAGGTCTGTGACTCCTTTCATAGTGAAACAAGATAAAATTGTCACAATGAGTTCTGATAAGGAACGTGGTGTCAGCAGAGATAACCCAGGGGAAACTCATTTTGCTATCAGGAAGACAATTTGAGAATTATTTCTGTGCTGTTGGTGTATCTCTTTGTCCATGTCATTGTCAATTATATGGGGATCATCAGCCTTGACAACATGAAGGAGCGCATTAGTTCACTGAATGTGGGTTAATGTTGATAAAATACGTTCACTGACATAAATGTTTTTGATTGATTCTAAAAGGACATTCTTTTACTTCCTGAGTCTTCCCGATACGTTTACTGGTATCGTTTTGGACGACTGTAGGAAGAATTCCTTTCAAACACCTAAAAGAAGAAATTACTACACAACACAGCCTTTTGACACACAAGTGCATCTGCTTTTGTACCCAATAAAGGAGGCTGATTCTCCAGCACACGGTGGTCTGATGGTACAAAGAGCACAGGGAAAGGACGTGAACAGGAAACAATTTACAGTAGTGTTTTTTTTTTTTTTTTTTTTTGACATTTCTCAACCGAACATCCCTGGTCCTCATGGACATGTAAAAACACAGACTTTCTAATCCAGGGGATTGTCCAGGACTGACGAATCACTGAGCTCATAAATACAAACATGTAATACTGACGAATGACATTGATGGTAAACAGTGCAACCAGAAACAGACTTCCCAGAACTGCTGTCAAGAGGCTGAATTTAGAAAATGAGAAAAATGTATCCTCTAGGCAGTTCTCTTCAATAACATCTGCTCAAGCCGTTCTGTCCTCTACTTTACTCGGTTTGTTTCTCCCCCAATGTTGTTTACGCTGTATTCTATTTCCCCCCTCGTCTGTCCAACAAGGCCCTGACCTTGAGTTTTACATGGTGCTGTCTCTATGCTGTAAAGATGTGAAACATAAGTTGGTGTCTGATTATTACGTACATATGTATCAAATGCAATTTTGATTGCCATTACCTATGGGTCAAAAGAGGTACTGCACCAAGAGGTACATTTCTTAATAATTTGCAAGAATGAAACAAAGGGTTTTGTTTTGATTCCAGGAAGCAAAATAATACAAGACGTGACCCAAATACCCACCCATGGATGTTCTCAAAGCCAGGCTGAGTTCTCTCAGTACGACCGGTAGACCCAGGTCTTAAGTGATAGAAAGATATCATTTGTTAAATCAACAAAGCCCTAATATGCATTTGAATCAAATAGAAGAATGAGAATAGAAGAAACCGTCAACTTTCACACACACGGTGGTAACACAGCCACACCTGGCCAGATCTGGTACTGCAGGCAAAATGGTATTTTTAGTTGGTTTCAAAAATAAAACTCGAGGACTTTCACCTTGCCTTCTTCAAAAGTACTTTCATTGCACAACTAGTTTATATAGGCCATTGAAACATGATCTAAAATGCATTTCCGAAGGTTTTAATAACAATTGCATTACTGCTGTGTCATCCCTCTGTGAGAGATTGCATGCCATATCTGATGATGAATATAGGTAGGTAGAAACTATGATGATGGATCTACAGTAACCCTAGTTTACACGCGGCCCATTCTGCTTCCATTTGTCCTTGTTCCTGATTATGGAGAACAACCACACAGCTCCGTGCTTTCCCTGGACAAGTGAGGGTTACAAATCACTCCTCTAGTAGTTGGTGGAGTTGAAGGCATCGGTGCAAGGTTTTAGTGCCTGTCTTCTGTGAATGGCTCCCTGAAGGTTTCTATGATAATAGCTCACAGTCATGCCCTTCACGGAGCCCAACATCACCACACCCATTCAGCAGAATGGAATGGCATATCAACCTACCCTACAGGGTATAATATTAACTCATCCGTTAGTTTCTGGTAATAATAAAGACAGAGTCTGACATGAAATAGTGGCGCTTGAAACTTGCATGTGGATTTGCAATCCACTGAGCGTTGCCTAGGACCCAGTTCTTTTCTTACAGGTCCCATGATACTGCATTCTTTAACCAGCATTTAGCCGTTATCACTCGCACCAATATAGAGTGACACAAACTTTATTCTTTAATTCAAGAAGGTAGTGCGTCTATAAGTAAACATTCAACATCTATAGATAGACTGTAGTCCACACAGTGACTTTGCAGAGGTTTTACACTGGGATCCCTTCATGACGCAACCCAACCTTGGATTTGGGGACAAGGTGGTATTGAGTCCCTGAAGCCTTCTGATGGCAGGTAGGGACGTGTTAGGGGACAGAACAAATGGAGAAACAGACAGAAGGAAGGATGGATGGATGGATGGACGGACAGATGGATGGATGGATGGATGGAGGGAGGGATAGATAGATAGATGGATAGATAGATAGATAGATAGATAGATAGATAGATAGATAGATAGATAGATTCTTCATAAAAAAACACTTGGTTTAGGTAAAAATATAATAAACTGACATTTCTCCATTCATCCATCCATCATAACCAGTGCCATGGTGAAGCCAATTTCCACAAAGCTGCTAAGCTGATTGAGGCAGACCAAATCTGTTTCACTAGCTTACATTCCTTCAAAATGGCCATCTCACTTCCAATATCACGGGCTTTTACTGTTCCCCGTTCCCCCGACTCCAGCTGAGAGTTAGCAAAGCTTAGCTGGATGAAACACTCCAACAGCCTAGTTCTTCCCTGGAACCCACTGATATCTCTACAGCACAGCCATTGCTTACAGAGCCACGCTTCACTGGTTTATTTACTGATGCTATTGTTCTTTGTTTAATTTATCTGTTTCTTTCTATTGTCTTCACATCAGACACAAATTACAACTATGTAAAGATTTCTGTAAACCAGCAAGTATAGGCATAAGACGCAATCGAATCTATAGATAGATATAAACACACACCACACCCACACACACACACACACACACAGAGAGAGAGAGAGAGAGAGAGACATTAGAAAAATGAACAGGCAGCACTTAACAACACCTACTTCAGTAGATTAAATTCACACAAGGTCTCTTTGAAGAAGGAAATTGGACAGATAAGACACAGAGGCTTGTGAGGGAGAGACACACAGAGAAAGAGAGAGAGAGAGAGAGAGAGAGAGAGGGAGGATGGGGAGATACTGAAAGGAGTTTTTCAGCAGGTTCTGAAGTCTAGCTCTCACATGTGCCACTTTTCTTATAGCTGATATGTATCATGCTTTTGTCATTTACAGTGTTGTATCCCACTCCCCTGTCCCTTTCTCTCCATCTTTCTACCACACTTTGTCTGTCATTTTGCCACAACAGCAAATATCCTGTTGGCCCAGATTGCAGGCTGCTGGTCTATCTGGCCTTGAGATCGATCCGGCTCCAAGCCGAGGCCTCCCATTCATCTCAGAGCCATAAAATGTGATTAGTGCTGACTACAGCACTGCAGGGAGATGGGCTGATAGGCCTGATAGCCTCAGATAAGCTAGACTAGACACTCTACAGGACATCAGTGGCAACAGCAAGCTGTGAATTCAGCTTTTTTTTTATCATTGCTTTTTTTCTAATTCTCTATAAGTAAACATTTTCTCAAAATTATAATATTTGTTCCTCTTTAACACTGATTGCTACAAAATTCCATTCCTTTAATTTCAAATACTATTTGCCCTTTAATTTATCTTAACACTTGTTTGTTTCATATCAAAGTCTGAAAAGGGACAGACAAATGAAAAGCACACATTCTCCACTAGAAATGTCCTGTTAATATGGTAAACAGATCAGACCTCAACTCTTTCAACGTATACAGTGCACGCCTCAAAAATGCTAGCTGAAAATCGACCACAAGTGAGACAGGAAATTAATTAGTTTCGAGGAGTAACAGCTTTGGCAGTAGTAATGC